CACACACTTCCCACCCCCGGGAGATTCCCCGGGTTCACCCTACAGCCCCCACCCCTTTCCCCCGGGGGTTGGGCTTGATCCCACCCCCCGCGGCGATCCTTCAGCCAGCCCCTGGGGTGGTCCTAGATCCGCCCCCCTGGGGGTTGATCCAAACCTGGAGTGATTTCCCCCCCCTCATCCCCTAAAGGTTTATCCGGCCTTGGGTGACACCCAATCCCAGGCTGGTGGCGTTTGCGCCCCCCCCATCCACCCCCTGGTGATCCCCACTCCCATACTGGGAGCACGTGGGGGCGTGCACCCCTGCCATATCCACCCCAAGGTGATCCCACATCCATCCCCCACGTGATCCCGCATCCACCGCAGGTGGGTCTTCAACCCCCTGCATATCCACCCCTGGGTGATCCCCCCTGGGTGATCCCCCCTGGTCTGCAGCCCCACCATCCAGCCTGAGGTGATCCCGCATCCACCCCTGGGTGATGCTCAATCCCCACCCCAGGAGCTGGTGGGGTCTGCACTCCCTCACATCCACCCCCAGGTGATCCCCCCCAGGGCTCATCTCCCTCAGGTGGTCCCAGATATGTTTCCCCCAAGGGCCTGATCTGACCCCCACAGGGGTCCCCAACCCCCCCAGGCCTGGTGGGGCCTGCACCCCCCCGGAGTGATCCCAGATTTCCCCTCCTGGGAGCTGATCCCTCCCAGGGTGATCCCCAGTCTCTCCTGGGGCCCGGGGGTCCTGTACCCCTGGGCTGTCCCCACAGGGCCTGGTCCCCACCAGCAGCCCCTGGATTGCCCCCTGCCCATGGGATCCCCCCACAAGCATGGATTCGCCCTGGGATCCTGCCCCGGCCCAGCTCCCCTCAGGCCTGGGGCCTGCTCCCCTCAGGCCTGGGGCCTGTCCCTCAGGGGGATCCTCCGAGGCTTCCAGCCCGATCTGCCCTCCAGGGTTTCCCTGCTTTGGGTCCCTCCTCATGGGGATCCCCCTGAGCTTTCATCCTTCCTTCATGCTTTGGGGTCCCCCCTACTGAGGCCTCTCACCTGCTCCCCTCCCTTTCCTGAGTAATCCTTCCCCATGGAGCCATAAGATTTGTCCCAGTGGGATCTGAGGGGATCCTTTCCCTACAGCCCCTCCATTGAAATACCTCCCCCTCAGCTTGTCCTCCTCCTTGGGAGACCACCAAGCCTCCCAGAGCTCCCCAAATATTCCCCCCCCCCCAGCTCCCTTGGATCTGGGGGACCCCCCTCCAAGCATGCCACCCCTCCAGAGAGGATTTTATTGGATCTGTGGTGCCCCTTCCTTTGAAACCCCCATTTTTGGGGGGGGAAGTGAACTCCCTTGGGAAATCCCTTGGAGACCTGTTGGCTCAGATCCCCCTGACCCTGGGTCTATGGATCCCACCCCCCCTCAGGGAGTCCCCATGAACCCTTCTCCCACAGGATCTGTGGGCATCCCCAAGGATCCTGCCCCTTCACCTTGGGGACACCCCTCTGAGCCATTCTCCCCTGCCTGTGCACCCCTTTTCTCATCCCCCCATCCACTGTGGGGGTCACACCAGCATTCGGGATCCCCCCTCCTGGATTTCTGAGATCCTGCACCCCCTCTTTATCCCCTCCAAACCTCTCAGGGATGCACAGGGGGGATCCCAGCACCGCATTCATCTCGGGGTGTGGGGGATGGATGGATACCTAGGTCAGGTTCCCCCCACTCCCCATCAGGAGTCGGGGGCTCCCCTCGTTGTCGGGGTGGATGCCTAGCAGGGGTCTCCTTTTCCTTGCAGAGCCGAGCGGGGAGTGATTTCGGGAAGCGGGCAAGGAGGGAGCCGGCGGGACCGTGCTGGGCACAGGCTGGTGGAGGATGAACGGTGAAGCCGAGTGCCCTGCAGACTTGGAAATGACAGCTCCCAAAAACCAAGGTGAGCCCCCCCCCCGCAGCCCCCCCTCCCAACCACGCTGGCATTCCCACGGGAACATAGCTGCCGTGTTTAAAAATAATAATAATAAAAAAACCTCCGTACGCCCCTTTTCCCTGAGGGATGGAGGAGGAGGAGGAGGAGGAGGAGGAGGAGGGATGGAGGATCTGTGATCCCAACTGCCAGCAGATCAGGGAGGGGCGAGGATCTGCCCCTCCCGATCCCGCTCTGCCGCGGGGAACACGCACACACATATGTGTGAGCACACGGATACACACTCCAGTGCTCTGGCAGCCCCTTGGCATTAGGGTGCTCCTTGTGGGCACCAGAGTTTTGCGGGGCTTTGGGAAAGAGGGGGCTGGCACAGAGGTGCTGCCTTCCCCCCCCATCACATCTGGGCTGCATTAAAAGCCGAGCCATTACCTTGGGCCTCCGGCTTCCAGACCCCGGGATGACATCAGAGCTTCAGCTTTTATTGGAGAAGGGGCAGGAAAACAAGGGAAAAAAGAAGGGTGTTTGTTTAGGGCAGCTTGCAGGGCTCTGCCACCTCACCCCCCAAAAAACTCCCCGGGTCCCCCAAAGGCCCCAGAGTGGGGTCCAGCCCCTCCGTCCCACGGGGTCCCCCCGATTTTCCTCCCATGCCGCAGTCGGGTTGTTGCCTCGAGCGAACCCGGCTGGAGCACGTGTCCTTCTCCGGGACTTTAGATGGATTTAATTACACTGGGGCAGCTTTCCCAATATAGACCCGGCCCGACCGGTGCCAGGAGAGCGGGATAAATCGGTCCTAGCGCATAGACAACCCCATTCATCCTGGTGGGTGAACTCTGCAATTCCAATGTTTTTTGACAAACCCTAGCCTGAGGGAAGGGGAACAGAGGGATGGGGGGGCTGAGTGTGGGGTCCCTGTTGTCCCCACTCTGCTGCCAGTGAGGGTTTTGGGATGTTTCCACTGTTTTTCATGTATTCCTGTGGGATGTGGTTATTCTGGCTGTCTGCCGGTGGGGGGTTCACGCAGGGCCAGAGGTCTCCGGGTGTTTCTGCACTGGAAGGGAAACACTGAGACACTGGGCTTGAAGGGAGCAGGTTTGAAGGGGTCTTGTCCACTTTCCCTTCCCCTCTGGATTTTTGTGGCCGTGCTGCTTTTGGCAATTCCTCCTGATTTCTGCAAGTAAAGTCAGCACCAGCTTCCCAGCCCCGTTCTGCCTCATTGGTCATTGCCTGGAGGGAGCTGGAAAATGGATGGGAAAAAGAGGAAGACAGAATTTGGGGCTGCATTGGTGCCCACTCCAACTCTGATCCCTGCCCAGCACTGTGGGTTTCCTCTCTTGTTTCCCTCCTCATAATGTTTTGGAGTGGAGCCAGGAATATGGAGACACATCCCAAGCCACTGGTCTCCCTGCTTTCCAGGGGACTCTTTCCATCTTCCCTCTCTAATTAGTCCCTGATGAGATCACTAAAGCAACCAGCCAGATCCCAAACTGTTCTCTGCCTTGACCCCCTGCAACCTGGCAGGTCCAGGAGGGAAATTGGGATGGGAGGTCAGTGCTCCCTGCCCCAGCTGCAGATCCTGCATGTCCTGTAACATCCCTCGCTTGGATTTGGGATTTGGGGGGCTGGGGAGGATTGCCCTTCACCAGACCCCTGCAGGGGCAGGACGTGGAGGTGTTTTTTCTGCATATTGAATCCGAGCAGAGGGAGAGCTGCAGCTGGAGGAATGTCTGCAGCAGGGTGTTTCTGGGAGCTTGATTTCATTCCTGAGGATAGGGGGAGAGGTGCTCTGCTCAAACCCATAACCTACTGTGCTGTCCCCACCTCTTTGGGACGCTTTGTGTCCCACTGACCCCATCTCACCAGGATGCTCCATGTCCCTCTGTCCCCACCTCAAAGATGCTCTTGTGTCCCACTGTCCCTATCTCACTGTGATGTCCTGTAGGCAGCTCCAAATCTCCCAATCTTCACTTGCCAGTGATGTGGGGCAGGGAATGCCGGTCCTACACCAGGGGAGCCCCCGGGGCTCGAGTGCCCATCCCGGGATGAGGCAGCCAAGGACCGTGTGGGCGAGCGGCTCAGGGCTCTGCTCCTCCTCCAGCCCATCCCCACATCCCCAGGGAGCTCTCCTTCCGCTCCCGGGGCCTGCTGCATTCCCAGAGCCACCCATGTTTGCAGAGCACCCGGGGTTGTGCTCCCCAGCTGGCGTGGAAGCTCGGAGCAGTCAGGAATTCCCCTGGCAAGGAAGCAGCCCCAAGGTTGGGGCTGGGTGAGGCATTCAGGGCTGGGATATCCTGCCTGCTGCCTGTCCCAGCATGGTGCTACTGCGTGTCCTGGCCTCATGGCAGCTCCAGGGCCTCTGGCTTTGCCGTGTGCCCATCCCACCATCCCAGCAGCTTGTCCCTATGGGAGCTGGGGATGCTCCTCCTGGCATTTTGGGGGATGTCGGGGTGACCCCTGCACTGTCAGGGACCCCCTGTGAGAAAAGGGGGCTGTGCCAGGCTCTGCCCGCCCTCACTTTGTGGTGTGGGAGCTTTGACCTTGGCAGAGGTCACGGTGGAGCTGGGCCCAGGTGCTGGCAAAGCTCTCCGAGGTGCAGGGAAAGCAGCGCTGGGGTTTTTCCCGTTGCTCCGGACGCATCTTTTCCCACTTAGAGAGTGGGTTTCCCTGTTTCCCCCTTGTCTGGAGAACTCATCGCTCCCATCTCGCTCCGCAGGGCGTAGGAAATAGCCCTCTGCTCCCGTGCAGCAGAGCCATCCCTTATCTGATGGTTTTCTGGGATGAGCAAGTCTCTCTGGTTTGCACCGAGTGGAATTTCTAGCTTTGCCCGGATTGTTTTGGCCCGGTAGAAAAGTTGCTCGAGGGTGATGGAAACAGCCACACGTCCCCTTTGATCTTTAATCTCGAGGGGCAGCATGTGGAGATTACGTGTCCTGGCGTGCGGTCTGGAGCGGAACGCTGGGAGCTGTAGTCCTGGTATCCTGCTGGGAAGGGAAGGGAAGGGAAGGGAAGGGAAGGGAAGGGAAGGGAAAGGAAGCAAATGGAAGGGAAGGGAAGCTGCATGCCCCTGGCTGCTGCTGATCCCGTCTCTCTGCTGCTCAGACCGCTGGTCGCAGGAGGACATGCTGACCCTCCTGGAGTGCATGAAGAATAACCTGCCCTCCAACGACGGGAGCAAGTTCAAAACCACCGAGTCCCACCTGGACTGGGAAAAAGTGGCTTTCAAGGACTTCTCGGGGGAGATGTGCAAGATGAAGTGGATGGAGATCTCTAATGAGGTAACTGAGACCGCGTGGGGCTCCCACCGGGCTTTGTGACAGGGAGTGAGTGTCCTGGTGACCCCCCCAGGGCTGTTGGAATCGTTCAGGTTCAGTTCCCAGAGCCCTCAGCTGTTGGTGCCGACACCATCCCGCTGCCATCAACATTGTGACCCCTTTGGAGGGGCTGGGATGGGTCTTTTTGGGGTGACATTATAAAACCCAGTGTGTTTCCACCATGCCAGGGATTACCCAGTCCCCCATTCACATCTGTGTCCCTTCACTCCCACACAGGTGAGGAAGTTCCGGACCCTCACAGAGCTCATTATGGACGCTGAAGAGCACGTGAAGAACCCTTACAAAGGCAAAAAGCTCAAGGTATCGGGCAGGAATTCGGCTCAGTCCCTAAAGGGCGACCTCCCCTTTCCCTGGGACAGGGGGCTGTCACCCCTGTGGCACCTCAAATCCGTGTGGCTCTGCCGCTGGAGCCCCTGCAGGCACCTCACTGCCCATAATCCCGGCGTCCGGCTGCCCAAGGCTCTGGAGGCCGCGGGCGCTGGGCCCGGGCCAAGTCCCGGGTACATTTAATATGGGTGGCTGTATTGCTGGCAGCCTGCAGCCAAGTTTAGCTCCAGGGGGACCAGGAAGCTGCCGTCCTATTCCTGGCCTGCCGGGTGGGAAGGGTGGTGCTCTGGACCGGGTGGCCCCAGGGCAGCTGATGCTCCGTCCCTGGGAGCTGAGTCCCATCTGCTCCTCCTGCCTCAGTTTCCCCTCTTGCTCTGGGTGGCTGGAGGCTGCTCCTGAGAGTCCCAGCCCCGGGATACTGTAGTTCCTGGTGGAGTGCTTTTTCCCAGTGGTTTCCCCATCCCATGTCAGGGAGCTGGATCACCAGCAGGGCTGGATGGAGGCAGGTGCTCCCAGTACTGGGGGAGCTGGTGGGTTTGGCTGTGCTCTGCCTCTGTGCTCAGTGTCCACTTTGCTATCTCCCAAGAAGCCCCTGCCTCCCTGTTTCTGCTTCTTCATGGAAGCTGCCATCCGATTCCTGACCCATCAGGTTGGGAGGGGTGATGTTTTCCCCCGGGTAGCCTCAGGACAGCTGATGCTCCATTCCTGGGAGTTGGGTCCCATCCCCTCCTCCTGCCTCAGTTTCCCCTCTCTCTCTGTGCTGACAGCTCTGGGTGGCTGGAAGCTGCTCCTGGGATACTGTAGTTCCTGGTGGAGCCCTTGTTCCCAGTGGTTACCCCCTCCTTTGCCTGCTGTTCCCATGTCAGGGAGCTGGATCATCAGCAGGGCTGGATGGAGGCAGGTCCCCCTAGGACAGGGGGAGCCGATGGGTTTGGCTGTGCCTGTCTCCATGCTCAGTGTCCACTCTGCTGTCTCCCCAGAAACACCCCGATTTCCCCAAGAAGCCCCTGACTCCCTATTTCCGCTTCTTCATGGAGAAGCGGGCCAAGTACGCCAAGCTTCACCCCGAAATGAGCAACCTGGATCTCACCAAGATCCTGTCCAAGAAATACAAGGAGCTTCCTGAGAAGAAAAAGGTATTGCTGGGGAAGGGGGAGTCAGCAAGCCCCTTCCCACTCTGTGCCTCTGCATGCTGGGCTCTGCCCAGCTCTCCCAGTAAAAACAGCAGAGCCCAAACCTCTGCTTGGCGAGGGCTCAATCTGGCTCTTGACGGGAGAAACCAGGTGTTCATTTAGTCCTGTCAGACCTGTAAGACTTCCTTGGCTTTTCCTGTCCTGGTTCCCAGGATCTGTGGGGTGGAGGCTGGCTGGGTCTGTCCGTCGGTCCGTCTTTTCCCGACGGACCTGGATGGTGGCTTTGCCGTTGGGTGGATCCGTGTTTAAGGCTGGGGTTAAGTCACACACCCCACTGTGCCGCCCTGTCTGACCAGGGGACAGAGGGACAGGCTCTGGGCAATGCTGGGAGCAGAGATCTGCTCCCATCCGGAGGTACCAGAGCCTGGGCAGGTATTTTGGGGGCCCCAACTCTCACTTTGGGGTGTCCAAGAAAAGTCCAGGGCGCAAAGTCCTGCCATGCCCTCTTTCCCAGAACTGCTGAGATGCAGGAAGAGGGGAGATACCCTGCTGCTGAATCCCTGGGCAGGCTGGAAACCCTCTGCTGGGAGCTGCAGGATCATTCCCTGGGCTGGAGAGCCCTCAAGACCCTTTGGGGGTTGTGGGATGCCCAGCCAGATAAACAGGGGTGTATCTTCTTGCCCGTTCCCCGGTGCTGACATCCCTCTCCACCTCCCTGGTGGCTTTGTGTCCCCAGATGAAATACATCCAGGACTTCCAGCGAGAGAAGCAGGAGTTTGAGAGGAACCTGGCGAGGTTCAGGTGAGCAGCCAGGCCTCCCCACTACAACATTTCCCTTGGCCCCTCCAGGCAGATCCAGGCTCCCCTCCTGCATGTGGCTCACAGGGGAATCCCTGATGGGCGCTTTGGCTTGAAGGGAAGAAGGAATGCAGAAAAAAAAGAGCAAGGAGAAGGTGCCTAAGAGCATCCCTCTGGCTGGGAGACTGGATGAGGGGGAGAGCAGAGGAACAGTCGTGCTCTGGGGGTCAGGACCTGTGAGAGGGGGGACAGGAGCCCTGCCACCAGCACTGATGAAAGCTGAAGTTACCGCCCTGATCCTCCAGATCCTTCCCTTTTAAAATGGTGGCTGTGATCCAAGTGGATCCTGGTGTTCCCTGCTGTTGCTCCAGGGATGCAGCTGAGCCTGGGGATGCACGTAGCTCATGCTCCCCAAGGAGAGACATACTCAAATCTCTCCTAAACCCCTCATGCTCTATTTGGGGACCCTCCAGTACCTGAACCCACGGAGGCTCAGCCCTACAGTGACAGTCGCCCCTTAGCAGGGAGGTTTAAGGGTGCTGTCCTTCCCCCTGCCACCTCCCTGACGCTCTCCCTTCCCCACCTCCCTGCCTGGTAAAGGGAAGACCACCCGGATCTCATCCAGAATGCCAAGAAATCCGACGTCCCCGAAAAACCCAAGACCCCCCAGCAGCTGTGGTACAACCACGAGAAGAAGATCTACTTGAAAGTGCGTCCAGATGTGAGTACGGTGGGTGGGAGTGAGTGCGAGTGTGAGTGTTGGGGGGTCCTGGACCCGCTGCTGGGGGAGAGGAGGGGGAAGGGAGAGAAGCATTTTAGAGGGGGATAGGCTGGAGGACACCACAGGAAGCTCCCAGCAGCCTGGACGGAGGTAAGAAGGGGCTCTGCACATCTGGAAGAGGCTCGGGGGTACAGCTACCCCCCTCCCCAACACTTTTTACCAGGAAGGGGTGACCACAGCCTGAGTCAGGGCAGGAAGGAATTCCAGCACAAACATCCACCTCTGGCCATGCCCCCCACTCCCACGCACCCCCTTCCCCGGCCGTGAGCTCGGCTCGCAGCCCCCCCACGGCCCCACGCTGGGCGCCGTCAGGCCACACCAGGCCACGCCTGGCAATTTTTTTCATATTTTTTCCTTTTTTCTTTTTTTTTTTTTTTCCTTTTTTTGGATTTTACCCCTCTGCCCTCACCTCTGGCTTTGGGTTTTCAGGCCACCACGAAGGAGGTGAAAGAGTCGCTGGGCAAGCAGTGGTCTCAACTCTCGGATAAAAAGAGGCTGAAATGGATTCATAAGGCCCTGGAACAGCGGAAGGAGTACGAGGTAGGGAGCAGCCTCGCCCCGTCCCCTCCACACTCGCCCCAACATTCACTCTGAGTCAACATGGCCACACACAGCCAGCCCCTCCCGATAGCCAGAGTGGGGATTCAGGCAGGTCCTGGCAGGTCCCTAGTGAGTCTGAGCCCTGTCTCCTCCAGCCGTGTGCGGGGAAGGGAGCAGCAGCCCTGGGGAGAGGACTAGGGTGATGGTTGGCTTCTCTCTCCTCCTCCTCCGGCCCCCGGGCAGGCGGGGTTGGCAGCCCCTCTGACCGCTCTCCATCCTCCTCCAGGAGATCATGCGGGACTACATCCAGAAGCACCCGGAGCTGAACATCAGCGAGGAGGGAATCACCCGCTCCACCCTCACCAAGGCCGAACGGCAGCTCAAGGACAAGTTTGACGGGCGACCCACAAAGCCACCTCCGTGAGTGCTGTCCCTCTCCATGCCGTGGTGTCCGGCTCTGTGCCACCTCTGCGGGCACTGACTCTTGCTGATGAGGGAGCTGGGGCTCTGCCTGGCTTGGGGAGCCCAAATCATTTCTGGGAGCACAGGCACGGGACCTCTAGATGGGATTTCAGGACAAATTTCTTCAGGGAAAGGGTGGCCAGGCATTGGAACAGGCTGCCCAGGGCAGTGGTAGAGTCACCGTCCCTGGAAGTGTTCAAAAAAATGTGGATGTGACACTTAGGGACATGGTTTAGTGGTGGGCTTGGTGGTGTTAGTTAATTGGTGGCAGTCATCTTAGAGGGCTTTTCCAGCTTTAATGATTCATTCCATGGTTCTATGATGACCTCATTAAACCAGTCCTTAAATGTACAATAAATACACATTTAGGGAGAACCTGAGTGAGGTTTATGATGATGCTGTGGGTTAGGGGGTGATCCAAGCCCAGCTCACCTAAAACACAAGGCACCTCACTTCCCTTGCAGGTACAGCTCAGCTGGGGGGTCTTGGGGGGCTCCAGCTCTGCAGGGGCAGGTTGTCCCTAATGCTGGGTCTCTCTGTGGGTTTTTCAGGAATAGCTACTCCCTGTACTGTGCAGAGCTGATGGCCAACATGAAAGACGTGCCCAGCACCGAGCGGATGGTGCTGTGCAGCCAGCAGTGGAAGCTGCTCTCCCAGAAAGAAAAGGACGCATACCACAAAAAGTGTGACCAGGTGAGTGGCCAAGGACGGGCAGGTAGGGGTACAGGCAGGTATGGGGAGGGAACAATAGGATGGGAGAGCCTGGGCTACAAATCTCCCTGGAAACAAGCCCCTCGCCCTTCCTCAGTCCCTGTTCTTGTCTGCACCACTGATTCCCCTCCGAGGTCTTTGGTCACCTTCTGTGATCCTGTCTCCCAGTTCATGTGTGGATCTGGTGGAGCATGAGGTTCCCAAAGGATTGAGGCTGGGTTGGGGGCTGCAGGAGGCAGGGATGGGGTGAGGGATCACTGTGTAACCCCACATCTCCTTCCAGAAAAAGAAAGACTACGAGATCGAGCTGCTCCGCTTCCTGGAGGTGAGTGATGTGGGAGTGCTTGGCCATCAGATCCCAAATCTGGAAAGGGAGAAAACCCTACCCATGGGCTATGGTGGGTCAAATGGGGGGCTGCCCTCTGCTCCCCCAAAACGTGGCTGGACCTGCCCATGGGTACTGTGCAGATGGTTGCACACAGTCTTGATCTTCCATTATCCTAATGCCTGACCCAGTGACTTCCAGCTGGGCACTGGGAGGTGGCGGGCACTGGGAGGGGAGCCGGGGTGAGCAGAGGGCTGGAGCTGGAGGAGAGAGTGCTGTGCCCTGCAGTTCAGGAGGGGAACTGAGGTGAGCAGAGGGCTGGAGCTGGGAGAGAGGGGTGCTCAGTGGCTGTGGCTGCAAAGCCTCTCACTTCCTTCCCTCGCCAGGGCGTGGGTGGGGGAGCTACACCGAGGCCACCCCAGCATCATCCCCATCCCCCGGGCGGACGTGACGCGGCCCCGGCTGCGGCTGCAGGGGCAGGGGGTGGAAAACCCAAGGGGTGTGCCCAGATCCGGGCACCTGCCCCCCTTGCTTCCACCAAGAAACAGCAGATGAGGCTGAGCCAGGAAGGGGACAGAGCTGAGGGAGAGGGATGTTGAGTGGGGAGGGGCTGGCAGCATGGGGACCCCCAAGCTGTACACGTGCAGTGCCTGTTGCTGGTCCTGTCTGGGACCAGCATTAATTCCCCTTCTCCAGTGCCCCTATTCTCTGATTGCCTCGGGCTGCCTAACGATGTCCCTCCCCCTGTGCCACCCAGAGCCTGCCCGAGGAGGAGCAGCAGCGGGTGCTGGGCGAGGAGAAGATGCTGGGCGGCAACCGGAAAGGGGCGACGAGTCCCGCATCCAAAAAATCCTCTCCAGAGACCGGCAAGGTGGGAGCAGCGCCAGGAGGGAGGGGGCAGCGCATGCCAGATGTGTGGGGTGGGGTTGTGGCATCTCAGGGGGGCTTTGAGGGCTTCATTCCTGGGTTCTTTAGTCCCTCCGTGGGCTTGCCCTCCCTCACAGCCCCCTGTCCCCCCCCTCAGGCCAGCTCAGAGAAGCCCAAACGGCCCATCTCTGCCATGTTCATCTTCTCGGAGGAGAAGCGGAAGCAGCTACAGGAGGAGCGGCCGGAGCTGTCGGAGAGCGAGCTGACCCGGCTCCTGGCCCGCATGTGGAACGACCTCTCCGAGAAGAAGAAGGTTGGTACCATCCCTCACCCTCCTCCTCCTCCATCCCCATCTCCACTGCTCCCTTGGGCATCCCCGGAGATGCTCCTGTCCTTGTCCTGCTCCAAGGGGCACGGTTGTCCCCCGGAGCAACACAGCGTCACCCAGGCACCGGTGTCAGCGCCGATGGGCACTGCCAGCTGTGCCCCCTCCCTCTCATCACCTGGGGGGTCAAAACCCACCAGCTTAAGAAACTTCAGAGGGTCCTTGAGCCTCAATTTTAAGGCTTGGTGGTTTTCCTGGTGGGAGCAGTCCGGAGACAGTGTTGGGCATGGTGGGGGGCTGTCGGTGCTACCGTGGGAACAGTGCTGGGGGGAGCTGCAGCATCCTCCTGGTGTTTGGGGGCTGTGCCCACCTTCAGCCCCTGCTGTGCCCCCTGCCCAGGCCAAGTACAAAGCACGGGAGGCGGCGATGAAGGCGCAGTCGGAGAAGAAACACGGCTCGGATAAAGAGGAGCGCGGGAAACTGCCCGAGTCTCCCAAAACAGCCGAGGAGATCTGGCAACAGAGCGTCATCGGGGACTACCTGGCTCGTTTTAAGGTGAGGAGTGGGCTGGGAAAGTAGCTGGAGGTTGGGATCATCACTCCCAGTGGCAGGAAATTCCTGTGTTCCTTCTCCCTGGCTTTCACACCTGGGTTTGGGTTGGGAGCCGTGGGGAAGATGAGGTAACGGGGTGGAGTGTCGTGGGCATTTTGGGTGCATCTAATGCATGGTGGTGTTTCTGTGGCACAGAACGACCGGGGCAAAGCGCTGAAGGCCATGGAGGCCACTTGGAACAACATGGAGAAGAAGGAGAAGCTGATGTGGATCAAGAAAGCGGCGGAGGATCAGAAGCGATACGAGGTGGGTCCCTGCCCTGTTCTGTTCCTCACTGTGTCTTATGGCTGGTGTTACCCCTCTCCCTGACCCCTCTCTCTCCTCTGGCTCAGAGGGAGCTGAGCGAGATGCGGGCCCCTCCGTGCTCCACCAACTCTGCCAAGAAAATGAAATTCCAGGGAGAGCCGAAGAAACCCCCCATGTGAGTACCCGGGATCCAAAACGCTGGGTCTGGCTGTGCTGGTGGGACAAGCAGCTGCAAGAGGAGGGAGGGTGGGCTTGGGTGGAGTGGGGTCATGAACACCTGGGCTGTCTGTGCACGCCGTCCCAATCCGGTCCCTGTGCTCCCCCCGTGCAGGAACGGTTACCAGAAGTTCTCCCAGGAGCTGCTGTCCAACGGGGAGCTGAACCACCTCCCGCTGAAGGAGCGGATGGTGGAGATCGGCAGCCGCTGGCAGCGCATCTCCCAGGGCCAGAAGGACCACTACAAAAAACTGGCAGAGGAGCAGCAGAAGCAGTACAAGGTGCACCTCGACATCTGGCTCAAGGTGAGTGCCGGGCCTGATGCCTGGTAGGGGTGCTCTGGGCTCGGTTGTTCTTGGGAATGATGCTTGGCATAGTCTCTGCTCGAACCTTCTCACGGGAATCACCATCTCCAGGCCCTTTATGACATTTTGTAACTTAAAAGGATAAAAATGTATATATATGAGGAGGGTGTGCCCTGTGAGCCCTTCCCTGCTCCATCCCCCATTCCATTCGGTGTCTGCCCATCCCTGACTGTGTCCCTGTCCCTGCAGAGCCTCTCGCCCCAGGAGCGGGCTGCCTACAAGGAACACATTTCCAACGTGAGTATCCACATAGCACTGCTTGGGGGAGGTTATCCTGGGGTTTGGGGGGTATACTGGGTATCCCAACGGATTGGGGCCAGGCTGGGGTCAGCCCTGCATGAGGTTTGGATGTGCCATGGTCTGAGAGCCCCTCCAAGTGGGATTCACCCTTGTGGCAGCTCAGCAGTGGGATTTTTCTCTGGGCTGGGCACTGGGAAGGAGCCAGAGCTTGAGCCCTAAATGGTTTTGTTTTGTCCCCCCCTCCCTGCAGAAACGCAAGAGCATAGGGAAGATCCGGGGTCCCAACCCCAAGATGAAACCAACGATGCAGTCCAAGTCGGTGAGTCACAACAGCCACACGGGGACACTCAATCCTCCTTCCCTGAGGAGCACCTCTGTGGGGACCCACACCCCTTGTTTAAGGCATCCCTGGTGGTTCCAGCTGCCTGCCGTCTCCTCGAGACCATAAACCACGGGGCCCTCCCCAAATCCCTGCTCAGTACCCATTCAGGATGGATTTTGCCCCCTGGCACCCGCTCAGGGAGCCTTTTTGGGGCCATTTGCAGCATAAATGGGGAAAGGCTTCCATCAAGGTGTGGGGTGGGGAACCACCTGATCCTGTTCAGTGGATGGAGGAACCCAAAGTTTGATGGCCAAGGATGGGGTGGGCGCTGCACCCATGGGTTCAGGTGTCCCAGGGCGCCCACCCACCACCCCCCCCTTGCCCGCAGGAGTCAGAGGACGACGACGAGGAGGAAGAGGAGGAGGAGGACGACGATGAAGACGAGGATGATGACGACGACAACGGCGACTCGTCGGAGGAAGGCGGCGACTCCTCGGAGTCCAGCAGCGAGGAGGAGAGCGAGGACGGGGACGAGGTGAGGCTGTGGCCTGGGGAGGCCATGGGGAGGGCGCCGGGGGCCCCCCAACGCTCCCATTGCACTTTCTCTGCTCCCCTCACCCTCCTCCAGGGCCAGGGGGCGTCCGCAGCCGGGCTCAGATAGAACCGTGGCGGAGCAGCTCCCGGGAAGCAGGGGGGGACACGGGGAGGTGAAGGGGAACGGGATCCCCCCGGTGTTCCCGGGGAGGGCGCGAGGAGCAGCCGCGGGGCGTAGTCAGGAGCAGCCTCGGGACGTAGAGGTGCGGGGGGGATGTGCAGAGAGCCCCCAGTGAGCAGAGTAAAATCTCCTGTCTTTTTCCTGGTGGAGATACTGAGTCTGGTCTCGGCTCCGTTTGCGCCAGTGTGAATGCCGAGTAAGTCACCAGAGTCAAAGCTTTACACCGGTGCAACTGAAATCAGAGTATGCTGGATGGCGCTGGGGCCAGAAACCGTGTCCGTGCCTTGTGCTCGCCACCGGACAGGTGAGGTGTTTCCACCCCCTCGCTGGTCTCAGCTCACGCCTCTTCCTTCCCTGGCTTTAGAGGGGGGAAACTGAGGCACGAGGCGGGTCGGGTACCCTCCCTCGGATCGTGTAGCGAGGCAGTGGCAGAGGTGAGGGCAGGACCCCCGCGCGCTGCTCCGGCACGTCCCCCCCGCCCGGCATCCCCGAGCTGAGCCCTTGCAAACTCACTCCTGACTCCTGCCTGGCGTTCCTCCTCCTCCACCTTCCCAAATCCCTTGAGGGGCAGTGGTGGGAGGGATGGGAGCGCTCTGTGGGGACCCCTCTCTGCTGCAGTGGGGAGGGCAAGGGAGTGGCGATGGGCAAACTCTGTCCT